AACATTTTTCTTCAAGTTTTTATTCACCAATGACAAACAAATGCATCTAATCTTTATTAGAATCATATTCTTGTTCATACATATTTACTTATAGAAAAAAATACGTGTTCTGGTTTAACAGGAAAATTAATTCAATTTTCGAGTTTACTAAAGGATCTGCTTAGAAAATCAAACAATCTAGGTTTGCAACCACTTTCCGTAAGCAGAAATATAAAAGCAATTGTGCTAAAATTTCTTAAATCTAGAAAACATAATTCTTTAAAAATAGGAGCAACTTTAGATCTGATCATTATGGCATAATAACTTCCTTTATGCTTGTAGAAAACAAACACACAGATTTCCCCATTCAAACATAGTAAGATACTAATATTTCTATCTATGTTATTACTATGAATGCAGAATAACAATAAAACAAAATCTGACAAAAATGTTATTACTTGAGAATCTTTGCATCCAATGGTTATTACTTTATAATTATGTTTTTATTTTTGATTACTAACTACATAACAAATTTACAATATATTTTTAAATACTATTGGAAAGTTATTATTTTAAACTACTGGAAAATTGAAAAACATTTTAAAAACCTTTACCAGAATTTGTAAAAACCATTATTACATTAAAATCAACGATATTGAAGAAGTTTAGTATTTTTTATATTTAAACTAATAGACGCAATTATTTTCTCTTTTATTCATTACAGATGGTCTGTAATGCATTTTCATTATTTAGAGAATTTTCTTTATGTTATAATACTTAAATATTTTATGTAGTTCAGTTTTGAATGATTCCGTTTATCCTTATTTACAAATGTATACTTTATTATTATTTTACTTACTTAATTTTTATCGTATTTGTTTACCATTTATTAATTTACTTTTTGTTTGCTTGTTTCTCGAATATATTGTTATCATTGCTTTGTTTTTAGCATCAGTTGACTTTTAACTTTCAGTATCAGTTAACAGTAAAGTACTAGTCCAGATAATTCATTTCTTAAGCGTGATATATTAAATGAACAAAATGAAGTAATGCATAGTAACAAAGCATTTTCTAAAATGATCTAAAATAAATATCTGATGTGGACACCGCATGACTTTCTAGTACGGTGTATTAAATTATGCACATTTTTTGTTGCACTTTGTTTAAACGTATTTCTTCGAATTATAATTATTGTCATTAGAAATATATTTCTCATTCAGTCAATTCATTTCTCACTTTGAGGCTAGGGAAGAGTACATGAAAACTCAAAACATTTTCATTAAAAATACAGAAAAACCTAAAACATCAAATGCAGTTAAAAACAGTTTAAAAAAATTACAATTAAAATTAGTGTTTCTACGCCAAAACAAGCAATTTGATTATCAGGCAAGAATACAAAATATTCTGCGCACAAAGCTGAAAGTTGACTGGTCCCACTAGGCAAAAAGACACCCGCTGACTTAATTCAATATTCTACTAAGAGTTTAAAATGTAAACAAATAGGGGCCTCTCTAGGTCTAGCTCCAGTTTTAAATTGTTGATAATTCTACAACTGTTGCATGCAGATTAATTAAAGACATAAGAGCCTTTACCGGAACACGAGAACAACATGATTCAATCACTTTTAAAGCAAAAAATGCCCAATTTACCAACGTATAAAAATAAAGAACTGAGCTTACCGTTAGTGCGTATACACATATATATTTATATATGTTTAGTGCAGCCGATTGAAACCAAAACGTGAGATGCACAACTACATGTTACAGCAGTCTGCTATAGAAAATTTCAACGTTCTGAGTCTACTCGTTTTTTTTTTTTTTTTTTTTTTTTTTGAGTTATGCGAGATACATACATAAGTATACATATATACATATATGCATATATACATACATATATACGTACGTACAAAAGTTACGGAAAAAATTCTCTTCTGAATCCATTTTACAATTCGTTTTCGAAAAACGAGCTCTTTATTCTGTCCGTTCGTAGAGATGTCACGAAGAAACATCGTTCAAATGGATTAAAGAGCGAACAAAATGGATATTTTTGTTGAAATGTGATGCCCGAAATTTTTCACGATTACAAAGTCTTTGCTATTCTTAACACTTTTATTTTAACATTTACAAATTGTACCTAATTTAAAATTAAGTGATTCAACTTAAAATATAATAAATTTTACAGAAACGATTACGTAATTGTTATGAGTAAATGCTTAATCAGGCAATTATTTTAGAGCTTATTTCATTTGCTTGAATGTGATTCATTACCAAATTAATATTTTTGTCGGATTTCATTACACATAAATATGAATTCGAAGAGTGACACTAAAGAATTTTAATGCGCATTAAGATATTGGCTGACTTCGATGGCACATAAATAGGCTTTGTATAACATATCAGGAAAGCGATTTATATTGCACAATAAATATTGGTTTTAGAATACACGTGCTAATTTAGAAGTTACGGAATCATGCTTGAAAGTTATGTGCCATGGCTGCAAAATCTTAAAAACAAATTAACTGAAACAAGTTACATTAAATCGTAACTGGAACCACCTTTTATTTTAGTATTTCCTAGGAAATTCAGTTATAAAATTTTCGAGAAAATAATAACGATGCTGTTTCTACGATACTGCTTGGGTAAAAGGAATAGTAAGAATTTTCTTAAACAACTGCTGCTGCTATCGATGAAGTTGTTTCAAACCTCATTCTATAGTTCGCGATTTAAAGCATTAAAAGTTATAAAGATTTTTTATAAATAATTTAATTTGTGTTTTTGTTGGAAATGACCAAGATAAATGAAAAACGCATTAATAGTGCAAAAGAGCGTATACTGATGACTTAAATTATATTGAAATCTTCATAACGTAGTTTGATGTATCTTAACCTGAAAACCTTTGAAAATTTTATGAAACTGTTACTTTTATTCATTTTATTTAAAACCTTTAAGCACGTTGTAACCAGCAAAAAGTTTATTACATTGAGTTTTAAATTGCAGCTGAGAGAAATTTTTCCACCTGGAGTAAAATAAATATTTTTATAATAATTAATTTCTTTAAACTAACCATATATCACAGTTTAGTTCACATTTCGGATCTTCAACTCACTAATGGATGTTTATTTTGCATAAAGCTGAAAGCATCACTAAAATTTGAAAAAAGTATATTTTATTAACAATATCTTGGGAAGCTTGATTAAAAATGACTAAAAATAATAATTATGTTTGCAAGCTTTCTATGTATCTGGGCCAATTCAAATTTTAGCATAGCTTCTTTTATGCAAACAAGAGATGCTGAGACCCGTGCTGTTTTAAATAACCTTAGCAACCTCTTTACCAACCTCTGCGAAAAATTAATTGCATTTTCAACTATTTTAGGGGCATAGTATTAGGCAGAGAGCCAACATTACTCTTCAGCTAATTGGTCGTTGGAATACGTTGGCTCTGAAACGTGATTTTATCGCCTATTGTGTTCATTAAATAAATCGAAAAACTATTTTAAACACGCTTGATGATGAATATAATATGACATGATTTGTATTACATTGTCAATGATGAAAGCACTGGAGCTTCATTAAAGTATCTAAAACAATTCTAGCATATGTATTTTAATGGTCCTTCTTTTACACGAAAATAGAAACAAACTCATTCTAAAATCCCTTTGTTTTTGTTTCTAGCTTCTAGAAAACATTAAATTATTTTATAAATTGCTTTTAAAGAAAGGTTGCGTTTGATTTAGCCTCGATGAAGTGGCATAGTAACATTCGTGATATTTCTTTTAATACTTGAAGATGGTAAATTATAGTACCACTCTTCACAATTGCTTTTTATTTTCACAATCAGCAGTTTTTCACTTACCAAGATGGAAAAATGTAATATTGATTTCCAATGAGTAGGCTAATAAAAGATTCAGATAAGTCAGTTCCTTGCGTAAAAATCTAAAACGTTTCAGTGCATGTTTAGCTTTAGTAACCAACAACTCGACATTAATTTTGATTATCCTTTAAAATACATAACATCCTAAAGGATTATTTCAGCTTATTATTCTTTGGTCAAGAATTGTTGTTATTCTTAGTAAAGATATGGAATCAACTATGTGAGCCTACATGTGAGATTATTTGCATTTCTGTGCTAAATGCTTATTTGTTCCCATAAAAACTGAAGTTAAACGTAGTTTTAAACTGTAAAACTTAGTTCTTTATGTTTGTTTGTTTCCAGTAAAGCTTTTTATTATCATTCAAAATTTTCAACTTTGACAAAACTTTAAGAAACATTAAAATTAGAGTATTATTAGACAAATATTTTTGGTAATATTAAAAAATTGTATTAGAAGAATAGAGAAGCGAGGTTGAATACCGATGTTTATTTACTTTCTTTTATCTGCATTCTTACTTCCAAATTGCACTTTTTTGAGGAAATGGTTGTGACGAGAAGGTTCATTGCACATAATTATTTAGTTGTAGAAATGATTTGTAGATGCATCTCTAACGTAACGATCTAAGAAAAGATTAATAATTGCACTTTTAAGATGAAGAAATGATTAATAATGCACCTCTAAGATATAGATCCTTCATTGCTTTCAGTGAACAATTAAATTCATTGCTTTCAGAAAACAATTAAAGTATTTCAACGTACATGTTTCTTTTAAAGAAATGAAACAGGAAGGAGATGGCTTACAGTTAAATGAGATGCTCTGGCTCTTGACACCGTAATTCAAGATTTTAGGAAAATTATAGTATGAAATTTGTAGTAATTAAATTGATGCTTTTTTATAAAATCATATGGATAGTGGACTAAGTAGCTTTCCAGAAGAACTAGAAATGATATAATTGTGAGACTGGATTTTTATTATCGTAAAATAATGACGATGATAGGAACCAAAAGTTGATTAAATCAAATCAAATAATATTTGACAGAAATGAGTAAACCTTTCGGGAAGAATTGCGCTTTACTTCGTGTAAGTTTGTTATAAAGCTACATTTTATGCAAGTTTGTTTTAAAGACATCTTTACTGGCAGTACTTACCGGTGAGTTTCTTGTTTTCCCTGGTAAGAGCAGCTAACTGGTCACGTAGTTTCTCATTCTCGTGCATGGCCTTCTGAAGATCAGCAATCTTTCCTTTGAGATCACGTTGAGAACCTTCGTATAATTGTGTGACCTCTTCCAGTTTCGTCTTCAACTCGATATTTATCTTCTCGATTTGAGTGATGCGCTTCTCCAATACTTGAACATGGGAGGTAGCCTAAAATAAGTATATATAACAGTTAAATTCTCCGTCATTCAAATAAAATCCTATGTCAAGAGCTTGATTATATTTTTAATTATCGTATTGCTCCAATTATAATATGGTCTTAAATGTAAGAGACTTTGAGCTCTGAAAATATTTTACAAGAGAAAAAAAGAGCTAACATATTTGCACGAGCTAAATATTTTGAAAAGGAAAAAAAGAGCTGAAAGAAAGAAGAAATCTAAGGTTATAAGGTAATATCTTGTGAGGAATGCTGAAAAATATATTAAGACATAAAGATTTTTTTCCGTTTTTTCCGTTGATGTAAGCGAAAACCATATGTCACATGACTCAGTATACAAAATAATCAAATCTTTAGTAAAAAAGGCCTGTTTTATTTTGATAAATTCATTTAAGTGCAGCAATAAATGTAGTTTGTACGAAACAAATTTTAGCTACTTTAGCAAAATTTTCGAAAACCATTGGCAAAATCTGAAATTCGGAACTTATACTCATCTTTGATTTACTTGGAGAAAGCCCCGCAAGTAATTTCAACTTATTTAGATACAATGTCTTATATCTTTGCATAACTACTGATACTTTTAAATTTCTTGGAACAGTAGTACTTCTACATAGATTTCTTGCTATAAAATGATTTTCTGAAGCTTGACCGAATGCGTTAAAGCATAGTAACAAATTCCATTTAACTGAATACCTGAAGCTATAAAAGACTTTTGCACTGCAGATGTAATTATTTGACACATGGTAAGCACATATATCAGCACACAGAAAGCTGGGAAAAACTTCCTATCTGTATACACACTACCCTTTCAATTTCTTCGCAATATCTTTTATTGTGTTTTTTGAAAACATTATTGAAACTGCATGCTACTTAGTATAATATACAAAAACGTACTATACATTTCTTTTGAATATGAGAATGATATGGTGGAGACGTTCTTCAAGAAAAATAATTACAAGATCCAAATATCATATCTTAAATCAAATTAAGTGAATATTTCCTTTGAATGTAAATTTAAGAAGATAAGTTACCTTAAGATAGTTTTTAAACATTAAGCTACGTATCTGAAACAAGTATGGTTTTCGGGTCTGCATCGTAAGAGAAAATATGCCTTGTATTAAAGCATTTAAAGTAGCCAGAGGTTTCCTTATCAATGTTACTCATTTATCATGGTACTCTTAATAACGTGCATAAAATTCTGACAAAGTAATATTCTAAATGAAAATATTCAAAATATTTCTGTATCAGATCATCTAAACTTATAATACTATAGGAAATAATATGGTAAAAATAATTAAAATAAAAAAACATTCCCTTGAAATGAAGTTTAATTTTGCATAATGTAATCTAAGTCCATAAGTGTGAAAATGCACGCAAAGAAAAAAATTAAACGTGCAAAAATATATAGAACAGTCACATAGTAGAGTTTAAAGATTATTTTATCAGTAGAATAAAGACACACAAAATAATATTGCTGTTCATTCCTATATATCAACCGACGTTTAAATTTTAGAATTACTATTAATTTTGTAATCATGCTTCTTACTGAAAAAAATGTAAGATTGAGTAAATAAAAAATAAACGCTTATTTTCATTTACACCTGCTGAATAGAGTTATTTAATTTTTTTTTTTTTTTTTGTGTTTAAATTTCCTCCAAATTAAATAACGCCTCTTTGCAAACACACGTAAAATCGTAATGCTGTTTATTTCAATATATCAATTGACGTTCACATTTAGAGTTAGTATTAATTCTGTAATTTTTCTTCCTAGTTAAAAAACGTAGCCTCCAATAATCCAAGAAAAGAACACCCGTTTTTATTTGCGTTTACTGAATAAAGTTTACTGATATAGTTTTAATGTTTTTGTATTTAAATTTGTTCCAAATTAAATAACGCCTTTTTACAAAGTTTGGTTTGGTACGTTTATCTGAGTCATAATGTTTAGTTATAATTATAACGATTTGACCCAGGCACCCTGGTGCTACAGCGTTTTCCCAGTACCCTTCAATTATAACGTTTAAACACTTGTTTATGTTGTAAATTTTATGAAGGTTAGGGACATGCCAGATTATGTTGTAATGTAAACTTCATATATAATCATAATGTTTATAATATGCAATGCATTATTTTGAGAGTTGTTTAAACATCCATTTCTGAAAAAAAAGATTAGGTCTAAAATATACTGTATTTATTTACCATTGTAAATATTCATAAAGCATAGAAAATATCTATAAAGCTCTGGATTTTAGAGATGTACAAAAATTAAATATTATGCAGTATTATAATCAGCTTTAAAGTAAATTGTATTCACTATTTTGAAAATTAAATTAAATAAACTCTTTCTAGTTGGTATCTATAGAAAACATCTACAGAAATGCAATGCTAAGCAAAACTCTGGCTAGAACCTGAAGATAGAAGTTTTAAAAAATTTACATTGTCATACAGAAACTGAGAAGGAACTGAAATAGAGAAACTGAATCTTTTAGAATTTAATTTAAGGTGCATAATTTTTCAGAGAAAGTAATGAATAAAAATTAGTGGCCCACGTGTAAAAATAAAATTTTTAACTTTAATTTATTGCTGGTTGTATTGAAAATAATGTACTTTATCTGCATCTTTGTTTCAACAATCACTAGAAGGATCTTTTGTTTTTGTACTTTAGCGTATATCTACACATGTTCGTACCACACATATGTTTCCAATGTACATGAATTTGCATGTTTTATATACTTCCTGTCAGAGAAAATGCAACAAATGAAAGAGTGAATAGAATGCAATGAAAATTTTCGGACAGAAAATGCCTGCATAAAAGAGCGATTTTACTTTTTAAAAGAGAATGTAATACAGTTATCGAATATGCAGAGTGATCTTTAAAATGTTGGGTCACCTCTTGCAGTGATTCAAGAAGCATCGCACTGAGGTAAAGATGAAATCAGCTTGCGAGCATATACCTAAAAGTATGTTGTTTTATATGGATACGCTTTCAGCCACCCCCTCCATGGTTTTCCAACTGAGGCTGAGGCAAGCCAAATAAACGACGGCCAGTCACCTCCTACAAATGATCGATCGGTGTACGATCTGGAGACCTCAGTGAGCAAATGGAAGCATCTGGATACTTTTCAGATCTTTTCTGCCGATGATTTGCCTTGTGTGTTTGGGCATTATCTTACTAAAAAATAACATTTCGCAATCGCTAAAGGTAGGTGCAATCGACTGCAGTACTTCCCCCATGTATCGTCGTATAGTCTTGTGCCTCTAGTATGAACAAAAATGACCGGATACCTATAATGCTGCAAGCCATGATACTACGTTCAGAAGCAGAATAGCTTTCGTAGGCACAGCAGGATTGATCTAGTTCCACGTTTTCCCCCAGACGCTTGTTTGGAGACTGTCATGGATGAAACGGAAGCGAACTCCTATGTCTACAGCATTCTGAGCCATTCAGTTATCCAGGAGGCTGTGACCCCATCGATGGCATCGTGGCTTTGCGTCAGTGACGGTCTTACTATAGGGGGTAGGGCTGCAGGCTCCTTTCGACGAATCATCCGTAAAATCTTCTTAATGATATTGGAGCATCCTTAACTGCTTGCACATCATACTGATATTTGTCTAGATATGTCAACCAATCGTTCATAGGCCTAAAACGAAACCCGCTGTAAAAAAATAGCTGACTGCCGAAACTAATTTTGGCGGCTTCTGCCAGTTGTCCCTTCAAATATACATGGAGCCTCTGGAGATGAGAAACAATTCAGAAAAAATGGTTTTCCCGCGGCGACATACAATGTCAACTATTTACTCATCTAATGTTTCCTTCTCTTACATCTCGCCAACTTATAACCTTGCATTTCTGATCATTTACATAAATCGTTTTCGGTTTGCATAATTATATAATCAACTCTTTATGCTATTGCATTTTCTCTGTCAGAAAGTATATAACTCGACGACCAATATCTACTGGCTGTGAAAATATAAATGTCAGCCACACACGGTTTGGTTTTTCTCACAAGATTTCCTTTTTCGTATAAAATGCTCATATTTATTATTGTTTATGAACAGAATTAATTACTTTTAGTTTCTGGAACGTTATATAGCAAACTATAACGCCATATATGGGGGCCGGTCATGAATTATTCGCAACTAAAGCTAACTGTGTGAATATACTCTACTAAGGTATTTGCTGAGTGGAATGTTTTAATTTTCTTTAAAATGGTTACCTTTTCGAGGTCCATAACCAAAACTTCGACTTCGCTTTGGAGTCTCGACTTGGCTTTTTCCAGCGAGCTGCATTTATTCAAGAGAGCTTCTAGTTGTTCTTCATACTCAGCGGTCTTTTGGGTAATCTTGCGTCTAAATAAAATAAACATATCTTATTACCTACTGTATCCAGATTGAAAAATGAGATATATTAGGATTATCTTAATTATTGTAGTTTAAAGTGAAACGTTAAAATCTAGTATTTAGAATTTCGAGCGCTTTCAGTACCAAATATGCATAGCTACCTTAAATTATGCATTCTGCAAATATCTTAAAATAGAAAATTTCCAACATCGTCTGAATAGAAAATAAGTGAAATGCATTTGTTTCAACACTTCATGAACATAGTCCTATTCTAATTTAAACTAATCCTACTTCGCATTTTTAACATCATTTCGACTCTAATCCGATAATAAAATATATAGGTACAACACGAAATCTTCAAAAACTAGAGAAATTTTGAAATAATGGGCGTATTTGATTTTGAGCTAAGTAGCGTGAATATAAATTTTATCGTCATTCTAAATAATTAGAAAACTGAGATCAAAATCTTTTTAGAAGCGTGGTGAATATTTCTGAATCCAGTGTTTGTTAAGATATCTTGTAAAATACGTAACGTACAAAACAAATTTGAGTTAAAAGATTTTGTAAAATATATAATGTTTAAAAAAGTATTAGCATATTACGTATAAGTTGAAAGATAAAAGTTAATTTCATGCCCAAATCGAAAGAAATTTGCCTTAAAAATATGCAGTTTTTAATTTCAATATTAATCGAAATGCATTCAATTAATTATTTCCACTTCCATTAATTACAGAAACGCTAGTTTTAAGGCAACACTGAGTTTAAAAATAAATAATGTATGTTATGTTGTAATGATGAATATAAGATATGTTTGGTTTACTTATTGTTAATAACATTTTGGAATGATTTCTGTTTTTTAATTCATTTCTCACGAGTTGTTGAAATAATACTCAATTCAGAAAAGGTTCAGGAAGATATTCGCATAAAAATAATGTAGTATAGAAATTCTTGTAGAATGATGTAAAACATTATAATATACAATGTAGATTAATTATCCAAATTCAAAAACATAATCTTCAATAAGGGATAATAATTCAGAATTTTATCAGATATTTAGGTTTCATCAAATTTAGAGTCAAACTAAAATTTAATATAGCCTTATACCGCAATATTTTGAATATTGGAATTACTGTTAACTTGTTTTGAATATAATACTGAATTTGTGGGTAACTTGAACAGTGGAAAAGAGTATTTGAACAATAAATAAGAAATGCTCAGTATCTGCCATTAAAAATTCAGGCTACCATGTTTCCTTTAAAAAGTCCTCAGTCGTTCTCCTTACGCAAATAGCGTAGCATACTTTGCCGTAATTGATGTAAAAATATCAATCCTTATTACTATGCATAATATATACAAAAATTATTAAATAAATTTAATTAATGTTTAATTAAATGTTACTTCGATGAGATGTAGCTGTCATGTAATTATCTTAAGCGCTGTCATAAACAATTGTGAATTAATAACAATATTTATTGTAACGTCATTTTGATCATTTTCTGGTTTTTATTAATAAAAATTTTGAATTTTTCCTTTATACAGAGTTATTTATAGTAATTATAAACACATTAAGAAAGAGGACATAAATTATTAGCTTATGCGAAAACAATGATAAGTAAAAAAAATTAAATATGCTAGATTTTGTTCCTACATAACAATTGATTTTAATATCTGATTTCAGAAAGAGAAGAAAATAGTTCCATTTGCTGATAATTCTTCAAGTTTTTTAAGACTACTTCATATACCATTAACTTCTTGATTATATATCACATTGTTAATTCTAATGATTTGGAATACAGTTTTACATTATATTGAGTATTAAAAACGAACGTGAGTAACGTTCAGAAAATGTGAAAATGGAGCTAATTACTCGTAATTTACACTGTGATATAAATCTTAAAATTTTAAGATACAAATTTGATTAAATTTTATTTGTACTTGTCGAAAGATAACTACCCTCAGCTACAATTTTTTGTTATAAGAATAAGTCGGTTTGATTGAGAGTAAATTTTTGAGCAGCTCTCTGTGTTGTTGAAACGCTTAGTAGTAGCACAAGTGAACAGTTTTTTCTGTAGCTGATAATTAATAAGTAAAAAACCAGATTGAAAAAGAGTATCTACAATTCATGGTACTTTCCAGTAATTTTTCTCCAAGGTTAAAAATTGCATCAAAATCGAAACGCTATAAAATATAGCTGAAAGTCGTAGTAAGAAATAAAGAAGTTTAATAAGTATTAACATATAAATATGTATTTCTTTCTGTAAGCCTGCACAGAAAAATGTAATAATTAAAAGAAAGAGAATAGGTTGCCATTATTTATTCTCAAATTTTGTATTTCTTGGGAAATTTTTGTAATTTGCTTATTTTAAGTAGGTAATTTAGTAAGTTATTATTTCAATGTATTAGAATTCTATTGATAAATGTCAGGCTGGAAATTTAAAATTTACTGGCAAAATGTTTGAATTACAAAGTGTACTCTACAGATATATGCAACCAGAAGTGATATTTCTTTTAGACACCAAGCTTAAGCTTTCAGATAGAAAAAAAAATATAAATTTGAATTGTTTCTCTGCATCATTATTATTACTACTTAAGTATGCTTTACCAAATATGTAAGAAAAAGTTATTAATTTACTAAAAATTTTATGTTTTGTAAATTATGCTTTTAAACTCGGCTAGTCAGCTGCTTTCAGATCTGGTTAACCCACGTGCCATTATTATAGTCACCAATACCAAATGGTCCCCTACAATTATATTAAGCCATAGGAGATGTGATGACGATAAGTATTAACTGTAAATCAGAACAGCTATATTTACTTCCATTACTTGCCATTTACTGCTCACCACGAGAGGATATGGGGCCGAATCTCCACACAATTAGAAAATATCTTTAGTAATCTCAGAAGATCACAGCACGTGATTACAGGTGACTTCAATGCTCACCATCAAATGTGGCATTACAATAATACAGATAATAGAGGACATACACTAGCTGACTTTATTGCTACACACAATCTGTATATACATAACCTCTCTTCAGACACTCCTACATTTGAAACACAAATGGTAAAGGATGGCCGGACTTGACACTGTCAACATTGAGTATCTCCAATAAAATACAAGAATGGAAAGTTCTTGATGACCCAAGCCACTCAGATCATAACTACATCTCATTTGAATTATCAGAAGAAATCCCGACCTCAAATTAAGAAGATTTTCAATCTCAAAGCAGAAAGCAAGGCAATTTGGAAGAAAAATCTCCACATGTCTTCAGTATGCGGAGGAAACTTATAGATAAATGCACATCACCCGATGCAGTCCATGATATAATGGAAACAATTATCAAAACAATACAGGAGACAGCGACCAACACATTTAAACTCCGTAACAACAACAAGAATACGAAGACTAACTGGTGGACAAAGGAATTAAGACGTGAAAAGCAACATACAAAAGCCCTTCGTAGAAAAATGAAAAGTGCTCCGGAAGGGTTGAAAATGGAAATATGGATAAAATACAAGCAACAATTAGCAAATTACAAAAAGAAAATAACTGAGGCAAAATTACGCAGCTGGAAGAATTACTGCTGTAATAATAAAGATACATATGGCCAGCTGTATAAAATGACTACAAGTAAAGTTTTCAGTCCCGCAAATACTCTTCCATCGGTCTTTCGAGAGATCAACTCTCACGTAACAGCCAGCTTGGTAATGTCACTGAAAAGATTCTCAACAATATTCTAGATGCTTGTCTTCCTAAAAGATAATGCAGAAGACAATGGCCATTCACATTCCGATATTAGATACAATAATACCGCTCCAAATACTCCAGACGATGTGGAATTCCACTCACAAGAAATTTCAAAAATTATTAATATCTTCCGAATAATAAAGCTCCGGGACCTGACGGATTAGACTAACAGGATTATTAAGATAATTCACCACGCAATGCCTTTTTCTGTTCCACAAACTACTAAACCTCTGCCTCAAATTTTATGTCTTCCCGAATTGTCTCAAACAGGGACAAACAATACTATTCAAGAAAAATAATAAAGATCCTACGGATCCGGAAGCCTTCCAGACCAATCAAACCTCTTACCTGCAATAGGTAAACTTCTTGGAAACGTGCAAATCGCGGGCAGAATTACGCCACCACTTAGAGAAAAACGGTAAACCATAAGCCCCAACCAATACGGCTTCAGACATCTCAAATCTACATCACATGTGATAGTAGAACTTCAAGAGCAGATCCATAGGAATAAATCTTCAACTCTCCATACAGCAGTACTCTGTATAGATCTCAAAAATGCGTTTGACTCCGTGTGGTGGTCTGGTATCCTTGAAGCCTTGCGCAATATTAAATGCCCTCAGAACATATTCAAGCTAATGAATAGTTTCCTAACAAATAAAGCAACGATAATCATCAGCAATAACTGCATAGTAGAAATAAGAATAACAAGGGGCTGTCCACAGGGCTCTTGTCTAAGTACAGACCTGTGGAACATCACCTTCAATTATATCACTTCCTACAAGTGGCCGGACCATACAAAACTCATCGCATTTGCCTAAGATGTGGCCTTTGTAACAAATGGGCATTCAAGAGTCATACTAGAAAAGAATAGTAATGAGACTCTCTCCATATTCCATTCTCTCTGCGTCAATCAAAAACTAATAATTTCAGAGCTCAAATCGCATATTATTTTATTTCCAAAACCGGGCAAATCGCTACAAAGGCTACCTTGCATTAAAATCAATAATAGAAGAATCAAGATCTCAAAAGAAATCAAATTTCTTGGATTGAAAATTGACAAAAGTTTTCTTGGATTGGATCCCACACCTCATGGAAATTCGAAAGAAGACCCAAACTATTTCTTCTAGAGCCCTCGCAAGGATGCAAGGCACAACGTGGGGCCTCAAGTCGAGGATGCAAAACATTCTTTATAATACCGTGATCGAAAAAATAATCCTCTACGGGGCATCAGCATGGACTCACCCTATGACAGTGAAAAAAGAAAAGACTCTTAGCTTCGATCCAACGCTCCTTCCTCTTACAAATAGCAAAAGCATACAGAACTGCCTCAAAGGTAGCTCTCTGTGTACTAACAGGAATCCCACCCCTCCATCTGAAAGCAAAAGAAGATGCAGACTTAGCCACGTTATTCCACCTCAAGAAAAACATAGAGGTAGAAGATCAAGATTTGTGCCCCTTTGATTTCGAACAGCCTCGAAATCCTTATATATCCTGCAGTATATGCAATATATACCCTGCAGTATATGCAAAACTCAGAATATCTACAGCCCACCAGCGGCCGAGCGGTAATGTCGCTGAACACTGGTAGTTCGGTCCGAGGTTCGAATCCCGTGAACGGGCTGGCTGCATGGGTGTTTTCGTGGTTTTCCCCATGTGTAACGTATATACGAGCCAGTTCCCCTTACAAAGTCCTCCACGAAGGCACCCCTCCCCTTAGGCAGATAGCCCTAGTGTGCTTTGCCATAATTAAATACACACACACCAGAATATCTACAAAAGAAGACACAGATGGATCAAAGATAAACGAAGAAGTAGGATGGTCGTTTTTAGTACCCCTCTCAAAACAAAAAACAACAGAATGGAAAAGACACCTAAGAAACAACAACATCGATTTCCAAGCTGAGCTTTCAGCCATAAAACACGCTATTCTGTGGTCTCATCAAAAGCATCTAACATATGTTACCATCTACAGTGATAGCCAAGCGGCAATTAAAGCTGTTGATGATGCAAGAAACAAATCATCAATAGTACAAGATATCTACGATTTAATATCACAGCACAACAGAACATCTATAAAAATAAAGTGGGTAAAGTGGGTAAAAGCGCATGCAGGACAAGTCCAAAATGAAAGGGCAGATGCGCTTTCAAAGAATGCAGCTCAAGACACATCTCTATCTTCAATCAATGTCCCATTCCCTAAATCGTATGCGAAACATATGTTGAAAAAAATTACATTAAAGAAATGGCAATCTGAATGGGAAAATGCAGAAGTAGGTAGAAGGCTTTTTAACTTCTACAAGAAACCCACATATGATCCAATCTCTTATAACTCTTCTTCATCAACATATTCTTATCTGGACATGTCCTTTCCCCACGTACTACTTTGCACGAAATTTGAGCGATTCAGACAAGTGCGTATGTGGGGAAAAGGGAGACCCAGAACACTATATTTTCAAGTGCCAGCTCACAAAAGAGCTACACTGCAAAGAAAGGTCACAAATTACGCCTGAAGTACATTAAATGCATGCTAACGATCCCTCAATTACAACAAAAGGTTTCCTTGATTATGAAGAAACTTTTCTCATATAAAAGAGAAGGCATATGTCAAGATGTTATCAAATCTGTATAAATATCTCTTATTCCATAACTTTCAAAAATAATGCAAGATTTTAGAAATATTGCAAATGTCTCAAACAGGCTAAATGTGGTATGAATTGTTTTTACAAAATAATTGTATTAAGAATTTGGACTGTATTAGGAGATGAGGGGGGAAAAATCTTGTAACAATTAATCATTAATTAAAAAAATAATATATGACTTTATTAGATATATTAGTGTAAATGTAAGTATTATGTGATTTTCTAATGTATATTTTCTGCATTTATGATACATTAATTTACAAAAAAAAATAATGTAAGACTTCAGTGCTGATGCAATTGTGTGTAATAAGTTAAAAAATGAAAAGAAATGTATTAACAAGATAATTTGCCTTAGGACTACAACTAAGTACTATGAGATGCACAAAAAAAAAAAAAAAAAAAAAAAAAAAAAAAAATTCTCACCAATTAGTTCCTTAAAAGATGTTTAAGTTTAATTCGATGTACTAATATACTAATGTAAAGATATTGTTTGTATGAAGTACAATGTACAATGTTCGATGTACAATGAAAGTTTGTATGATGTATGCTCGAAGTAATTATGTTATATTAATCTGCCATAATCCAACTTTTGTTAATAGGTTAATTTCTTTGTAATAATTGTATACTGTGTCTTTTTAATTGTATATTCAATACGTAAGTCTAGTATTAATGTAAAGTTTCTATGTAAATGTCTTGTTAGGCTGGCATCTGATGCGGGCCAACCGAAAGCCCAGCGGGTACAGTAGTGCGGCGGACCAATACCTGTCCTGACTGACGAAGTTCTGGTGCTCCGTCCACTTTTCCCTGTCCCTGCTTTCAGATCGTGTATTCGGCCCGGATGACATTTATTGAAGTAATAACTTACTAAATTACCTACTTAAACTAAAAATAAACAAATTACAAAAATTTCCCGAGAAATAAAAAAATTTTAGAATAAATAACGGCAACCTATTCTCCTTCTTTTAATTATTACATTTTTCTACGCAAGATTACAGAAAGAAATGCACATTTATATGTGAGTAATTCTTCTTTACTTCTTACTACAACGTGTCGCACTCCTTTTCTCAATAGACACCTAAAAGGCAACTATACTCCTAGCAATAATCGTAACCACTCTTTTTTCTTTGAAACGAATTAAAAGAAAGGAGCATGTCCCTTTCAGGCATCATTATACTTATATTGTTCAGAAATTTGAAATAATTGAAAATTTTTAGTTGTTAATTTAAGCATAATTTTAATTCCTTAGAAATTCTACTTTCGTATATGGTGTCATAAAAAAAATTTAGAGCTTTGTCACGTGTTCATATATAAAAGTTTACGTATTTAACAGGAAAGCATATCAGATCTATTTTCTTAAGAATCATGAATTTCCATGCAAAATTTACGTAAATACCTATTGTAATATTTCAGTGCCTTTCAAGTATTTATAAATCAAGATAACTAGATACATTCAACTGTTGATATTTGCTCACCTTAATTCTTCGACTTCATCAGCGTGGGCTAAGCATTCAGTCTCGTATTTGGTCTTATAGGTGGCGCATTCTCCGTTAGCTTTGACCAGTTGCCTCTCCAAATCAATTCTAGCCTCAGATTCTTCATCCAGTTGAGTCTTGTATGATTCCACATCCATCTCCAGAGTATGAACAGTAGATTCCAAGAGCGAGCGCCTCTAAAATGAAAAAATAATAAATTAAAATTTTAATATACAGTGTTCAAGAATTTTTAACATAAATTATCAATACAGAATTATAAATTTGGATATGTTTCATGAAACGTAGCTTATAAAATTTTTATCAAAAATCACATTTGGGAGAAGATATTTTTAACTGTTTAATATTTAAAATATCTTAAATCCATCCTTCTTGCGTTCTTGTATATTTCGTCTTTATTGTTTTGTATTTGTTGTTTTTTTTTATTCAATTTTACTCTCTCAATATTTTGAAATTGAAGAAAGGCTTTTTTTTATATAAATTTACTGAAGTACCAGGTGACGGAGGACGGGGACGCCTGGCGTATAACATAGGTAAACAGGCATATGTCCCACGTCCTCCACTATCTCGAAGAAGCAACTCGCTGGAGCCCCGTGAGGCTGCACCGGGAGTTTACATGGCCATACAGGTGCTAGATGTCGGGTAGTTTTTACATAGGACGTTGTTAATAACACAAAGTAACTTAAAAAAGAATATAAAGGATAGCATTAAAACACTAAAACACTCATATAAGCTGAAACACATAGATATACAAAATTAAACGTAAAAGCATAAAAACACACTCGTAATTACGTAACATAAAGACATAAAACACACACACGAGAATACATATCATGACACATAGAATACATATGGAAACACGTAGAGCACATAAATGCAAATATTACACACAGAAGAAACATATGAGACATAGTAACGTGTGCGTAAAGCAGTAGCGCTGTGCGGAAATATGCTCAGTTCACATAATACATAATGTACATACTTTCATTAGGGGCTTCTGTTGCATGAATTACATATTTCGTTGCATACACTACATTCGTGCATTGTACGGATATTATATATTTCGATTTACGATAACACATCATTCCATTGGGTGCCCAGTGCTTTACACTGATAAACATGTCAGTAACATTATTTCTATCTGCAAGTTGGTGGCTATTGAAAGCAGATGTTAACACGAGGCTCGAAATTGAATGTGGAATGTGTATTACAGAATGTGTACATACTGCGAATATCTAATCGTTGAGTACATTGTCTGCAGTACCATGCTACTGTGGCTCGCAAATGTCTTGCCCTAGGGCGTTGATTTGCTGTACAACTGCGCAGATACTCCTTATAGCTGGCGGGTGTTTGATTATGAAACGATAGTAAAGTGTTCTATCATTCGTTGGATGTGGTAAGTGGTGGTTTGTTGTTAGACCGCAGTCAAATAGGTAGTGCTCGGGAGAACCTAGCATGCCACAGACACAATTGTCAGATGCTGAGATGCCATGACGCATAAAATAAGATGGAAATGGGCCATGACCCGTTATGTACTGTGTCAGTGGGGCTATTGTTATAAGACGTTCCGTGTCTACCTTTGGTAGGAAGTTATACGTCCTTCTCCCTGTGTCGCCAACTATTCCATTCTTCTTGCCACTTTTCTTTACAGATATTACGCAGAGTTTTCTTGAGGTGTGAGACGGGGGTAGGGGCTCTTATAGTTTGAGCGTGGGATGTTGTTGGCAGCCTCATTAGCCAGTCGGTCTGCGACGTCATTCCCTTCGTTGTCGGAGTGTCCTTTCACCCATACCATGTTAAAGCGGGCTTGATGATTATTGCGTAAAAGTTGCTGTATATCTATGATGATGGGTGAAGTGTGGTGATGATCCCTGAGTGCGTGTAGCACTGACATGCTGTCTGTGTAAAAAGTCGCATTGGTAAGGGAAAGGTTGAGGGCATGTCGTAGCGCATTCAATATTGCTAGTGCCTCTGCTTGGAAAATACTATTGCTGTTAGTGAGATGTCCTTTCCATTCCTTTACTAGTGTGCCATGTTCGTAGTGAGCAAACGCGCAGCCCACTCCCTGATCATGTTTTGATCCATCAGTGAACAGTTGTGTAATCGCAGAGGAAGTGCGTTGTCTGGAGTGCGATTGCTGATGTTGGATTTTGACATGGATCCCTCTACCTTTGATGGCAGGGTGGATGTGTTGCACACTGCCAGGGAGTTCATAGTCTGTTGTTCTGAACGTAATTCCTGCATATGTGGCTTCTTGTCTGTGATGAGTGATTCGTACATAGGTAGCCTCTGCCTCTGCCTTTATGTGTAATGGCAGCAGGCCTGCAAGTATCGTGGCGGCGCTGGACGCTGTTGTGCGATAACCTCCGCAGATGTTTAATGCAAACGGCCGTTGAATTGTGGTCAGTAGCTTGGTCTTTCGGCTGCTCATTGGTTGGTTGTGCCCATATGACTGCTGCGTAGAGAATTATTCTCTCTGCCACTGTCAGATATAATAGTTTCCTGATATGGGGGTTTTGTCCCCAATTTCTCCCTTGAAATTGCCTGGCTTTCCTTGCGATGGTCGATGTTTTTGTACGTATTTCTTGGAGGTGCGGTAACCAGGTGAGTCTTTGATCCCAAGTGACTCCTAGATATTTAATCGTCTTCGTTATTTTTAAGTTCTTGCCCAGTAGCTTTATACATGGACGTCTTGTGGGATTTGTGCCAGGACGTGGAATTACGATGGCTGCGGACTTTTGTCGAGAGATGGTTAACTTAAGTTTATTGCATAGGTCCGTGAATATCGAGCAGGTTTCTGTGGCATTCCGTTCCAGTTCATCTCTTGTGCGGCCAGACACCAGAAGAGGCTACATCGTCGGCGTATGCTATGATATCTGTGTGCAAAGGCCATTCATGTTGTAGTATGGAGTTAAAGGTGATTATCCAGAGCAACGGACCGGCGCAAGAGCCTTGTGGACACCCTCTTTCCTGCCGCTTGATAGTGAGGCCATTGTTGTTGGCTACTATGAGGCTACGTGCATGTAGATAGTCCGTGATGATGTTAAAGATGTTTTTGGGACATTGTGCCTCTCTAAGTGCTTGCTTTATAGCAGGCCACCAGAGGGTGTCAAAGGCGCTTTGCAGGTCCAGGGATATGAATGCCGTGTGAAGATTTCTGCCTCTATTTTGTTCTATGCTATCTTTAAGATGACTCAGGGCATGCGTGGTTGACAAGCCAGTTCGGAACCCGTATTGCCGTGGGCTGAGGAAGTTGGTCTGCTGGAGATGGAATTTAAGTCTGTTTACCAGTAATTTTTCATAAATTTTTCCCAGAGACGAAAGTAGGCAAATTGGCCGAAACGAGCTTGGGTCATCTGGGGATCTCTGCTTCTTCTTCAGGAACAGGACCACTTCTCCTTTTTTGAAAGCAGTTGGGAAGATCTGGTATTTTAAGAGCTTGCTGAAATATTTCTCGAAGAAGGTAGGGCGGGATGTGTAAGCCACCTTTATTATTGCATAGTCTAGACCGTCTGGTCCCGGAGCCTTTTTTATGGGAAGAAAACGGAAGATTTGCTGTATTTCAGCTGAGTCGAAGGGTAATGTCGTCTGGTGTGTTAGGAATGGAATGGTTGTCCCGTATCTTCTGTTGTTCTGTTGAGTCATCATCCGGGTTATCTGCTAGGGAAGATTGCATTAAGGATAGCAGATGCTGTGGTTTCTGCAAGATTGGTGTGTGTCTGAGTTATTGGCTGATTGGGCATAAAGCTGGTCAGGCTTGTAAACTTTATTTGTAGCTAGTTTATGCAGGATTCCATAGACGTTGGTATTAGCTGTGCAAAATTTCCGCCAGCTATTGACTTTGGCTCGTAGTATGCATTTTTTATAATGCGCTCTTTCCCTGCGGAATGTGGTCAGCAATGCCATTTTGGTGGCTTCGTCCATTACACCTCGGAGACGCCGTCTTAGGGCTCTGCACTTTTGCCGTAATTGGCGTAGTTCCTTAGTCCACCAGCATATGCCTTGTATGCGTTTAGCAGTGCGAGTCTTCAGGAGCTTGTCGCAAATACATCGCAATGTATTGAGGAGATGATCTGTATAAGTGTCTAATTCCTCTGGGCTATTTATTTGGTCTATTACTTCTTCTTCACTCTGTAGGGTATCCGAGAAAGCCTTTGTTAATGCACGCAGTTTATTGCCTGGGATCTTGTAGCGCTTAAGGATAGTGATGCTTGTGTCGGTATTAATTGCAAAGTGGATATATTTATGATCAGAGCAACTCTCGTCGTCTGTGACCCTCCAATCTGTTATATTGTTGGCTATGTTACTTGTAGCTATTGTTAAATCAGGCCATCCTTTGTTGTATGAGTTGTCGAACGTCGGTGGGGCATTCTGAGTATTTATTAACTGTAGATTGGCTGTCATTATAAATTCTTCTAACGCTGTTCCTTTCGGTGAGGTATCTGGGTATCCCCAAATGACGTTGTGCGCATTTAGGTCTCCACTTATTACGTGAGGAATGGTAGTATGTTTTCTGTGTATTTCTGCTATACTATCTACTGCATTGCTGATGTCTTCTGGTGGAGAGCTGTAGACGGATGATAGGATAATCTGGGAGTTATTATAATTCAGAAGAATTGCAACATGATCTCGTGCCTGCTTGATAATGAGTGGGGACCATTGTGGATTACAACAAATGATCGCCGCTCTCGGGGGTAGTTCGTTAAGTTGCGCTTTCCGCTGGAAGATCTTACATGAGAGTGGTAGGCAGGCTATTGCGCCATTTCTGCAGTAAGGCTCTTGGAGAAAATGATATCTATCTCATGATCGAGGACATGCTGCACTAGTTGCGTATTAGCTGCTTCTGCCCGCTGGAGGTTAATTTGCGTGCATTTTATGGAGCCTGCTGAAGAATGAGTTAGAATCTGGTTGACTGGGTTGTCGATATTTGTCGGTAGGATCTCTTGTGAGAAAGTGTTGCTTTCTTCAGACGCATTAGTAGTAACATAGCAATGAAGATACACAGTGAGTTTTTTCCCAACACGCAAAACTCACAAAGATACTTAAAGACACTCATTTAAATAAAGCAGGCAAAAAAAATATTTTGATGTATAGCGCTAACTAATTAAATATTTCTGCAAAATTTTGGATATCTAAGTAGCATATCCTAATAGCAATATAAATATTGTGTATTATTTAA